TAGCCACCTGAACTACTACGTGGCCAAAATACTTTCCTTTGAAATTGTGAACTTTAATTGTCAAATCATCTCCAAGCCCTTCTGGCAAGCTATATTCAAGTGGGAAGCAAATTTAACCATCCAACTCTATGAGATTGAATATATAACAAGATTACAGAGAAAAAGATTACATAAAAACATGAGTTTCACCAGATCTTAACTGCATTCTCACAGCATCCTCTTCAGTTGAACAAAATGGTGAATACAAAAAATTTAAAAAAATTTAAAAAAAAATTTTTTTGTCAAAAATTGGGGGGTGGGTCCAGGACCCCCCACCTCCGCCCCTGGTCAAGTTACATTTATAATGTGGGCCACATTTTTGACGGCCCCCACCTATCCGTCATGGATCTTGGTGAATGAGGTAAATCGCAGGTTATGCCTCCAAGGGTACATGGTGAAAGATCGATTGTACACTTGCACTTACCCAGAGTCAAATCCATATTTCAGGATTCGAACCCTTAACTGGGACTTTTAAGATTATTAATTAGTTGAATAAAATTCTTGTCCGCTCGAAATTTAGATCAAATAATTAATAAGATTTTGAATTTCGTAACTTAAGAAATTTCGATGAATGAAATCGACTTTGTTCCCACTTTAATCTTCTCAAAACAAAATTATTCGAAAAAAGAGTGAAACATTTATAATTGTATTTGAATTGTAGCTAAATCGAAATTAATTTACACTCAATAGACGCACAAAGAGCGACTAGTTTCACATTCTCATCTCAACATGACTAAACTTTCCTTCCAACTATGTTCGAGATGACGATGGACGGGACGGGACGGGACGGGTGCAATACAAAATTAATCACAAATTTTATGCCAAAATAGAAAAACGTTATAAAATGGCCTGTAATAAATGAATCAAACGAACAAAAAACGAATATCCCCTGAGTACCGTCCACATTCATTTCATCAAATTTTCACCTCATCCATTTCCCGCGGATTTCCCGTGATAGTAGAAATGTTTGCTTGGTCATTACGAAACACCAAGCCCTTTCTCGTCATTTTACACACACGGGAAAAAAATATAAATATCTCTACGACGGATGTTCCTTCTTCTTCATCCCTTGGGTTGTCTGGCAACGGACGGAACTTCTCTTTCCCTTTCTTTTCACCCCTTTGGATCATAAAAAATCCCTATTTTGTCCTCATAATTCCCATAAGAAAACCCTTTCATTCTCATTTCTAGTTCAATTTTGTTTTCTGTTTTCTTGGTTAAGTTGTAGTATGTTTCGATTTTTTTCATTAATTGTTTTTGTCTTGAAAAAGCATAATTCAAGAACACAACTCATGTCGTTTGACACTTTGTTCGGCTGAAAGTTTTGTTTTTTCATCTAATCAAATGATTTATTTGTTCCATAGATTAATAAAATTCAGAAATTCAGAAATTTGATTCACACAGAATTCTATAATTTTTCCTCGTCTTAATTCTTCGAACTGCATTTTTTTTCCCTGATAGATTTTTGTTTTTGGATCGAAAATGGAGAATTTCGAACATCGATTTTTATAGCGAAAATTTAAATAAATTTTATCGATAGGGTTTTGGCTTTTCATTTTTCTTTTGGAAAAATTAAAAGTGTGGAATTTTTATATACGGGCTTTCTTGTTGGTGTTGGTGGTGGGATGGACTGTAGAGTTATAGCTCCGATGGGTGACCCGTGGGCCATCCTGGCGGCGGGCAGCAGTGGCGGAGGCGGTGGTTTCAGCCAGGAAAGCGAGCTTGATTTGGCAATAATGGTGAGTGATTTCTTGGAGAATGAACATAGTGGTGGGGCCGAGTATTCAAGTAGCAGCGATAGCGATTCTGCCCTCTCAGATCTTGCGCAGCTTGCTGAGAAAATCTCGGTTAAGCCTTTTTCTCTCTTTTCTTTTCCGTAATTTGTTAATCTCTTGATATGAATTTGGAACTGCGTATTCTATTTTATATTCTTATTATACTATCATTTTCTTGGTCTTTATGGGGCTTTTATAATGTTTTATATTTGATATTAATTTGGAAAGAAGCAACCATATTTACCCTCAAAAGTTGAAAATGATGTACTTAATTTTATCCTATTGAGCATAAGCTTGCAGTGATAGTGAAAATGAATAGTTGAGACTTGCCCTCTGGCTGAGGAAAGCTAAAGTTTCAAATTGAAGAAGTTGTAAAAAATCTGTGCAGTGTTCTATGTCTATTGTTTTTACGTCATGTCAGTTTTTATGAAGCTTATGTTTTCCTGAGATCCTAAATATATTTCGTGGTATTTTACAATATGCATAGTATTTTCATTGTTATTCTGGGAGGAACACTGAAATTCTAAGACCAGGACTCCTGCTTTCAGATGTGTGCATGTTTATATGTATGAATAATTTTATAACGCTACCGATATCCGATATCCGAAAATGTTAAATTGGGAAACTTGTAAATTGGTTTTCTCTACATATTCCAAGTTGATCAGGTAGACTATGTAAATAACAAAGTAGAATAGGCTGAGTAGCAGCTTGTTCCTTTTTTCTTTAAGTAAATAATTTCGGAGAGAGAGTGCAGACTAGTCCTCAGACAATTGGATGTCTCAACTTAGAGAATACTTTCCTTTCGTTTCTATCTTTTGAAAGAATTGCATTTACAGTTTCCTTGTTTTTGGAATAGTTTAATGCATACTTATGGTACATAAGTTACATCTTTCTGTAAAAACACTCCTTTGAGCTTATAGTCAAAGCGTCTCTCTCCACAGAGAAGATTTTGGCAAAGCAACATGTTTTACAACTTAATTTTTTTTTATAATCTATGCGATAAATAAAAGTGCACAGTATGGTCAATATTATGGCTAGTAGGTGTTGTGTTGTAAACGAGTCTCGAGTTTGCATCCATGTCTTTGCATTGTCATTTTGTTGTACCACTCTGCACAACTTTTTCTTATACTGTAAATAAAAGTATGGTAGGTTTTAATAATCGGTAGTGAATAAGTGGGTAGTTCTTGTCAATTCCACAAAATGTGTGGATAAAAAGTAGGTTTGATCAAAAGTGCTTATATTTTAAACACATGCCAAACAAGCATTATCATCAAATAGTTTGTTTATTCTCACTCTGACGAGTTTGATGTGATCATTCAGTATCACATGTTGGTGGCGGATCATCAGCAGCATGACATATTGTCGGTGGTGAACTCACTTGCGCTTTCGATCACTGAGAGAGATCTTCACAATGTGAAATCAGGTCTTTGTAATGCTAGCTGCATCAGGTTCTCTCTGGTGAAGCTTCTGAGGCTTTCTGGTTATGATGCTGGTGTGTGTACATCCAGGTGGCAAGGGAGCGGCAAGGTTCCTGGAGGTAAATAATCTTTTCTGTCAACTTAAGTGTATTTGAGTGTGACTACAAGAAGATGAGTAACCTGTCATAAAAAGCAGATCTGCTCTTGGCAAATCGGCAAGCTAATTCGTATTAAGACAGTAATCTTTGAATTTCTTTGATAATCATGGAAAGGAAATTAACGTGTAATATAGTTATTATGTGGCATTACCTCACCAGAGGAAAACCCCTGAGTGCTTAGAAACAGTTCTGTAGACTTGGGCAGTGGGATTTTTTGTTGTGTGTTGTGTTATTGGGGATTGATCAACATATCTGTTGGCTTTGATTCCCTAATGAGTTGCATCTTATTTAAATGTGGCGGAGTATGGTCTTTCGTTAAAATTCTGATACAATACTTTTTAACGTCATATTCAGGGGACCATGAATACATTGATATTGTTGGCTATAATGATTCTGGATGCCGATTGATTATTGACATAGATTTTCGGAGCCACTTTGAGATTGCTAGAGCTGTTGAATCCTATGACAGTATATTGAACTCTCTTCCAGTCATTTATGTGGGCACTTTTACCAAGCTTAAACAATACCTTCAGGTAATGGTTGAAGCTGCTAGATCTTCTTTGAAGCAGAATTCAATGCCTCTACCTCCCTGGAGATCTTTGGCTTATTTGCAAGCAAAATGGCAGTCTCCTTACGAGAGGAAGTTTGGTCCTGACGTGCAGAATAACCTTAGCTCCACTCTAGTTGAACATAAGAAATGCATCGGACACCTAAAGAGACTGCAGTCTTCACTTAAATCTGAGATTGAGCCAGAACGCATGTTCAAGCCTGTAAACAGTGATAATTGGAAGCTTAAATGTGGAAGGCAAAGGTATAAAATACATTCAGAACCCTTTGAGGTATAGCTCCGTGCCATGAAAGTAACCATGAATAAGTCTTTATAATCCGAAAAAATAAGCAATAAAATCTTTAATATGGAAAGAGCAAAGGTAATTAACTTCATATATCCGATACCAGTGACGAATAACGTGCTAGATTGTGGTCGGGAAGCTTTTTAACTCCCACCCTGAACAAGGCAAGATTATCAGGTTCCAAAGCTTCTATACCACTATTTCATATCATTTTGCTGTATTAAGAGGATCGTACTTGTGCCACGGAGTATTTGTCTATAGAGAGAGTAGAATCGATCTTTTTTATTTTAAATTTCTTGGTGAAAATAAGTTAGTGCCATCTATTGGCATAAAATTTTGAAATTTTGCTCCCTTTTTTCGTTTAGCATGTTTACTACGGTAGTGACAGATATTGTATTAAGTACTTGGGCGTATTTTTATCAACTGCTGTTGATCAAATGGTTTCCTTGGTGTCATTTCTATTTTCTCTTCTGAGTGGAGTTGTTCTAATTGATTCGTGTTGTCAAAGTTTGAGAGTGATGATTTTGATTTCTTTTTATAGAATTGTTTCCAATAATACATTTGCTACTTGATAGTTAGCTACTGACACCCTGTTTGGTTCACATTATTTTTTTCATTCTCATTCTTCTACTCATTTTCAATTACACATTTTTCAATAAAATATTATTTTCCATCACATAAATAACTTTTTCAACTACATATTTTCCATCACAAAATGTATTCTTACCTTCAAAATGTGCACCAAATGGGGACTGAATATGGATTAATATTGAAATACGATGATGACTTGTTTTTGAGAAGAAATCTGCTGCATTACTCTTTGTTGGAAGAATCAAGTGGGTGGAAGATTAGATTTAAGACGAGTAGCTGTTTACCGTCTTCGATGTTATTTGAAGGGCTTTACATTATGTTTTGTATGTGAATTGAATAGCTATGGAAACTGTTAAGAAAGAAAAAGGATCTAAAATTTATTTTTATGTGAAGTTGAGAACAATCTTGTAACAGTCTAGAATTTTCTGTGATAATTAGGATTTTATAGGAATTATAATGAAGTTGTGAGGTTAAAAATGTGATTAATGACATTTTTGAAAAAAAGGGTAAAAACTACTCCGAAGATTAGAAAATGTAAATGAGAGAGATGTTGAAATTATAGTCAAGTGTGTGTAGAAAATTATAGGGTTTATGATTTTGAATTCTTCCGAGTTGGTGGTGACTAGGACGGACACAATATTGTGAAATCTGGTAGCGATTGGGATGAATCCACTAAAAAATTGGCACAACGCACTTGCTTTTGTAGGCGGTAATGTTTAATTTGTAATTGACAATTTTGTAAGACAAAAATTATAATTTATTAGATTTATATTATAATTTAATTATATTGTAATTAAAGTCAAATTAGGATTAGAAAAAGGGAACAATACATATCTATTCACATTTTAAAACTGACAAATTTGTTTAATTATTTCCAAAATCAGGTGATAAATAAATTAATTAAATATTAAATTATAATATAATATATAT